CAGGTAACAAGCCACTGGCAGCGCCAGGCGGCATCTCACGGTCTCCGTGGTCAGGAGGCCGGGAGGGCAGGTCGGTCCTCCAGGTCTCACCAAGATGAGGCCAGAGTGTTGCTGGGCTCAGGTCACCTCGGAGGACCGAGGTTCCGGCCCATGCCCCTCAGGTGCTGGCAGAATCGGGGTCTTTTTCTGGTGGATCCTGAGGCCCTGAGTCTGCCCGCTGCCCCCATAGGGGGTTCATGCCGGGACCCATGCTTCCTTCCAGGCAGCTGGGTGGGTCTTTCCAGCACCCTGCACTCTGACCTCCAGACCCTCCCTCGCCCTCTGGACGGAGTCTCTCAATTCAGCAGAGAACCACAGGGGTCCTGTCCACCACAGGTCACATCTGTGGTGCTGCCTTCACCCAGGTGGAGGGGCTTATCCGGGAGGGGGCCCACCAGCTCATCCTACAATCTGCACACCAGTGTCTGGCCGGTGAGTGAATATTTTTGGAATGAACGAGAGAATCAGTGATTCTTCTCAAGGGCGCGAACACCCTTTCTTCCTCAGGGAGAGTTAACCCTAAGAAGCACCCTTTAGGGCAGTGGTCTCAACTCCAGCATCACGGCAGGTGGTGCCTGCAGCCAGGAAACTAAAAGACGATTGCTCCTTGGAAAAAGAGCTATGATAAACCTAGACAGCATATTAAAAAGCAGAGATATTACCTTGCCAACAAAGGTCCATCTAGTCAAAAGTTATGGTTTTTCTAGTAGTCACGTATGGATGTGAGAGGTGGACGGTAAAGAAGGCTGAGCACCAAAGAATTGATATTTTTGAACCATGGTGTTTGAGAAGACTCTTGAGAGTCCCTTGGACAGCAAGGAGATCAAACCAGTCAATTCTAAAGGAAATCAACCCTTATTGGAAGGACTGATGCTGAAGCTGAAGCTCCAATACTTTGGCCACCTGATGCAAAGAGCCAACTCATTAGAAAAGACCCTGATGCTGAGAAAGATTGAAGGCAGGAGGAGAAGGAGATGACAGAGGATAAGATGGCTGGATGGCATCACCAGTTCAGGGGACATGAGTTTGAGCAAGCTCTGGGAGATGGTGAAGGACAGGGAAGCCTGGGGTGCTGCAGTCCATGGGGTCACTAAGAGTCAGACATGACGTGGGGACTGAACTGAACGACGTCAGGGCAGTGGTTCTTAAATGTTATGGGGTCCATCACTGAGGAGACCTGTTAAAAATGCCATTTCTGGACCCCCATCCCTGAGACTCTGAGAGAAGGTGGAGGCTGGCAGAGAGCTGCAACCCCACAGTGTCATGAAGACCCAGGTGTCCCAAGGGGACCACGGTGAGTGAGGGGCCTGGGCTGGGACCACAGAGACCCAATGCTCCGAGGAGCACAAGGAGCCTGTTGTCAGAGGGCTGTCCTCCCTTCCCACCCGAGATTGTTAACGTATCTTATAAATGACAGAACAATAATGCTATAAACTACTTACCCTCAAAGAAACAAAAGCTCAACCTGCCCCAAGACTGGAAATCCAGTTTCCACAAGGAGAGGAGACTGTGATCTCACCCCTCAGGTTGGACTTCAGTTGGAAGAGGATCCATCTTCCTCGTGACAGCTGCTGGTGCCCGCCGGGCGGTGCATTTCAGGGAGAGACGTGGCGGGGCTTTGCTGACCCCAGAGTCACATGGAGAACAGTGTGGACCTGTTTGAAAACACACCCCTCATCTGACAATGAAGGACGTGGAGACAGGATGCCGGGCAGTTGGGGGGGGCGCTCAGAACCCCAGGCTATTTCTGACTGCGGCTCAACCCTGAGATGTTGAAAATGGTAGATCTGATGGAAGCATCACGTCTGATTCCAATTTATTTGCATTTACCTCCTCAGAATATTAAAGCTGTTTAATATCAAAGAGCCCCCTTAAAGGCCTTTTAATCCTTTTCTCTTCAAAGCAGAGCCTCGTGATTTGCCCAGAATGAGCAAACACAAAACATCAAAAAAAAAAATAAATAAAATCCAAGTCTGGCCCCAAACCAAGTCTGATGGTTACAGGGGATTACAGACGTGACCCGTGTGTCCCCAGGTCCAGGTTCCAGCAAGGCCCATGAGACAGGATGAGGACGGGCCAGAGTGCACCTTGCTGAGGGTCACCTGGGCACGCCTGTGGGGAGGTCCCCGCATGGAGGTGACGGCATACGCACGCAGCCGCCTGCCTCAGGGAACCCCGTCCCCAGGCCCCGCCAGATCCTGAGCCCCCCACCCGAAGTCTTGTAGGACCTGGCCGCCCCTCCTCTCTCTGAGGTCAGGACCCAGAGGGGTAGGATGTGCTGCTAAAAGGAAGGGCGGGGTCATCCACCTCAGTGGAACCGACTCCAGTGTGTTCCTTTTTGTGGCTGAGTAGTATTCCGCTGTGTATATGTAACACAACTGCTTTATCCATTCATCTGCCAACCAGGGGCTCTGTATCCACCCAGAGAGGTGGGATGGGGAGGGAGATGGGGGAGGTTCAAAAGGGAGGCAATATGTGTATACCTGTGACTGATTCATGTTGAGGTTTGACAGGAAACAGCAAAATAGTCTGTAAAGCAATTATCCTTCAATAAAAATAAACACATAAATTTTTAAAAAATTTTTAAAAAGCAAGTGCAGGTGTGTTTGGGGAGGCAGGCTGGTAGGAGGGGGCTTTGTGCTTACCCCCCGGGGTCCCTGAGATCTGGTGCATCACCCCTGGGTAAGGGGACCACTCCTCCTCCAGGATGGGGACCTTGGGCTGGTGGCCCAGCAGGAGGGGGTGGGTCACACCCAGAGAACTCAGGTTCTGTCCATGTGCACTGCCCAGAGCTCGAGCACGGGGTCCCAGCCGGCTGACCTCTGAGCCCCCAAGGCCCTGGAGCAGCACCACCGGCTGGGGTGCCCGGGACCCTGCCCCACAGCCTGGCTGGGGTGAAGACCCTCGCGCCTTCTGCACGGGCACCAGCCCCGCCTTGTCCCGTCATCAGCACGGCCAGGTGTCCCAGGCCGGCAGCTCATGGGCAGAGCTGTGGTCCTGGTGAGGAGGAGACGGGAGCCGCTGGCGGGGCCGAGACCGTGAGGCCTGCCCATCCTGCATCACGTCCTCCCCCGGACAGAGGAGGGAGGGTCAGTGCGCCTGGCCGGAGGTGCGGGTGTCGGGCCAGGACCGTGTCCCAAAGCCCAGGCTGCAGTCCACTCAAGCTGCGGCCGCTGGGCCAGATGGACACCCTCGGGTGACCCTGTCCCCACTCCACCCGTACAGAAAAGGAGAAAGGAAGACATTTCAGGGCCGCAGTCTGGGCGGCATTCCAGTACTGCTTGGGGGACTGGTCCCTGCACTCTCTCCCTGCCCCGCGGGTGGGTGTGCACACACAGCACACGCGTGTGTTCACCAGGAAAGAGGCCACCCCGGGGCTTTCTTTACACTGTTCTCCTCATCCACACTTGAGCAGTGCTGTGGGGTCATCACCGTTAATGATCACCCCATCTTCAACTTGCAGAGCTGAGCTGAGACTCAGAGACTTGGATTCAGATCGTGTGGCTACAAAACCCAAGTGCGTCTGCCTGTGCACATAGGCAGGCATGTGCGTGTCCTAGGAAATGGGCTGAAATGTTAGGAAATCTCGGCGTCAAGACCACAGAAGTTCCATCCTGCCCTTCCATGCCCTCGTTGCCCTGAGCAGACTCGCTGGAATCGTCATCAGAAACAAGGCCAGCTCCAGGGTGGGGGGCAGGGCAGAGTCTCACCCCAGCCAGAGGAGGAGAGGCTGGTGCTGGGGAGCCCCCCGCCCCCCGGGTCAGCTCAGACTGTGGGCTACAGAGGAACGTGCTGAAGGGACAGGTGAGATCGAAGGCGGCTGGCTGCCCAGAACCCCCTGCCCCGCCGTGATCCGTGGTCCTGGCGCCTGCGTGGGGGACGGGCTGTCGGGTGGGATGGTCTTCCTCCAGGGCCTCAGCTCCTCTCAGGTCAGGAGGGGCCCAGACGCCCCCAAGGCTCATCCTGAAATCCTCGCACCCTGGACAGCATCCTGCAGGCCATGTGGCTGGGGCAGCCTCGCAGGAGCGGGAGCCCGGCGGTGAGCCTGACCCCACGCGGTGCAGACCCACACCCGAGGCCCCAGCGCCCCTCTGCTCACACTGTGAAGCAGGGCGCAGTCCTCAGCCTCAGCGAGCAGGCCTGGCCGGGCCATGTGCCCCCCACCGTCCACCACTGTGGGCAGACGGCCAAGAGCTCCCCACACACCCGGCTTTCATGCCTGCATGTCTTCCTGGCAAACGGATAACCTGGGAGGGGGGGTCCCAGGAAACAGCCCCTGGGGTTCAGGTAGAGCTGGACTGGGAGGGCAGGGGGCAGTGGGGGGCCTGAACCCCAGCCTCTGGGAGCCCAGGCAGAAGATGCCTCGGCAGCCGCCCCAGCAGGGCGAGCTGGCCAGGCTCACAGACCGGGCCCTGACAGACGGGGGTTGATCCCAGCCCCGCTGGCCCAGACGAGTGGCCCCAGCCTGATGGACGGCCCGACCCTGCTGCTGGAGACAGGGGCCCGGTGTCCTGCATGCCCCTCAGGAAGCACACAGCAGGGAGGGAAATCCTCGCAAAGAGGATTACCACACGATCCTGCTGGCAACCACTCTCTGATCCACCCAGCACGAGCTATGATGCATTAGAATGCTTTAAAGAATAGAAAAGTGTCCGATCTTATCTTAAGGACAGAGACCAAACTGGCTCGGATTTGTGTTGCTGACAAAGCCCACCTGCGATGGATGCCACGGAAGTCAGTGTGGCTGGACCTGCCCTGGGCGTGACTCTATCACGGCCTGCTTGGACAGTACATGGGGTTTGTCTGGCTTTCAAGGCTTGGGTCTCTCAACTCAAAACTCTCTTCTCGGGCGCCGTGCCCCAAGGCCACGTCAGCTCTCTGGCAGCTAGGCCAGGGCTCAGCCCACCACCCCGGGGCCTTGGACTGGACTGGACACCCCGAGGCCGGCCCTGCAGGGACGCATGTTCCCCGGTCCGTGTGCCGCTGACGTGCAGCAGGAAGTGTTTGCATTAGCGGTGAGTGGGCAGCCGTCTTCGAAAACCTGGAGTGGGGTTTCTGCACTTCTTTTAGCCTCGGTTGTTGCTTGGAAAGAATCCAGCCCAGATGTGTGAACAAATGAGCAGAGGAAGCAAGGCCGCCCTGTTCCCCCTGAAGGCCGGGCTCCCCACAGGCAAGGCCACCTGTTCCCCTTGAAGGCCGGGCTCCCCACAGGCAAGGCCGCCTGATCCCCCTGAGGGCTGGGCTCCCCACAGGCAAGGCCGCCTGTTCCCCCTGAGGGCCGGGCTCCCCACAGGCAAGGCCGCCTGTTCCCCCTGAGGGCGGGGCTCCCCACAGGCAAGGCCACCTGTTTCCCCGAGGGCCGGGCTCCCCACAGGCAAGGCTGCCCTGTTCCCCCTGAGGGCCGGGCTCCCCACAGGCAAGGATGCCCTGTTCCCCCTGAGGGCCGGCTCCCCACAGGCAAGGCCGTCTGTTCCCCCTAAGGGCCGGCTCCCCACAGGCAAGGCCGCCTGTCCCCCCTGAGGGCCGGGCTCCCCACAGGCAAGGCCGTCTGTTCCCCCTGAGGGCCGGCTCCCCACAGGCAAGGCCGTCTGTTCCCCCTGAGGGCCGGCTCCCCACAGGCAAGGCCGTCTGTTCCCCCTAAGGGCCGGCTCCCCACAGGCAAGGCTGCCCTGTCCCCCCTGAAGGCCGGGCTCCCCACAGGCAAGGCCGCCTGTTCCCCCTGAGGGCCGGGCTCCCCACAGGCAAGGCCGCCTGTTCCCCCTGAAGGCCGGGCTCCCCACAGGCAAGGCCGCCTGTTCCCCCTGAGGGCCGGCTCCCCACAGGCAAGGCCGCCTGTTCCCCCTGAGGGCCGGGCTCCCCACAGGCAAGGCCGCCTGTTCCCCCTGAGGGCCGGCTCCCCACAGGCAAGGCCGCCTGTTCCCCCTGAGGGCCGGGCTCCCCACAGGCAAGGCCGCCTGTTCCCCCTGAGGGCCGGCTCCCCACAGGCAAGGCCGCCTGTTCCCCCTGAGGGCCGGCTCCCCACAGGCAAGGCCGCCTGTTCCCCCTGAGGGCGGGGCTCCCCACAGGCAAGGCCGCCCTGTTCCCCCTGAGGGCCGGGCTCCCCACAGGCAAGGCCGCCTGTTCCCCCTGAGGGCCGGCTCCCCACAGGCAAGGCCGCCTGTTCCCCCTGAGGGCGGGGCTCCCCACAGGCAAGGCCGCCCTGTTCCCCCTGAGGGCCGGGCTCCCCACAGGCAAGGCCGCCTGTTCCCCCTGAAGGCCGGGCTCCCCACAGGCAAGGCCGCCTGTTCCCCCTGAGGGCCGGCTCCCCACAGGCAAGGCCGCCTGTTCCCCCTGAGGGCCGGGCTCCCCACAGGCAAGGCCGCCTGTTCCCCCTGAGGGCCGGCTCCCCACAGGCAAGGCCGCCTGTTCCCCCTGAGGGCCGGGCTCCCCACAGACAAGGCCGCCCTGTTCCCCTTGAAGGCCGGGCTCCCCACAGGCCTTCCTGGGTGTCCTCCCAGTGGGGTGCCCCCCGAGGCCGCGCAGACCACAGACCCTGAGGACCCTCGGGGTGGTGGAGAGGCCAGCTGGCCTCTAGGCAAAGCCTGTGCTTGGACAGTGTTAGGAAAGGCAGCTCCCCTCACTGCCAGAGAACAGAGCCGGGCACGCCACCGTCAGCTTGATTTCCTGTCCGCCAGGCTCCATCACTGCAGGGCCCCTTGCCAAGCACTTGTCCATAAAGAAGGAAGCACCGGGAAACCCGGGGGACTTCTGTATCCACCACGTTGTCAGTGAGAACAGGGCCATCTCCCCGGGAACAGGATGGAGGAAGCCCCACCTCTGGGCGCCCATTGCTTCCTTGGGGCTGTGCTGAATTATGTGTTTGTCTCCACGCACCTCCTCTTAGATTCTGGAAACCAAAGAAAGGCAGAACCGGAGGGCAGGCCTGCAGAAAGCCCCCCTGTTTAAGTCACAGCCGTCCTTTCTCCCACCACTCCCCTCCTAACAGATGGGGGGCCAGGGAGCAGAGATTTCAGCCTCGGGCTGAAATCCACCCAGGTGTGTGCCCAGCAGACAGCTGTCCAGAAACGCAGCCAGCCCAAGGCAGAGCGTCCCAGCAAGCCTGCCCGACAGCCTCCGGGGCCGTCTGATTGAGGTTAGGAATCTGCCCGCCACCTGACCGAGTGTTGGCAGAGAGGCCCAGGGCCTCCAGCCAAGCCTGGGGTCTCTCATAAGCTGAAACCTGGAATCGCGCTGGTGCCTGAGAGGGCTGCTGCGGTTGGCCAGGCCGCCTCCAGGGACACGTGTGCCCTGGCCTGCACGCTCACACGTGTTTGCACACACGGGGCTCTCTGGCAGTTGCCCGTGAGGATTACAGCTCCTGACCATGACAGGGCGACAGCTCCTGGTCTCAGGGCCTGGAGCTGTGTGTCCTGGTCAGTTCCCAGCTGGGCCGGAAGACTGGCCCTGGGACTGTGGGGCAGACGGGCCACACACCTGGCCGGGCACGCCCTCCTCGCCGCCTCGGCCAAAGGCCTCCGTGCGCACAGGTTGGCAGCCTGCTCACAGCCCCGCTACATCTTGGGTCTGAGTCTGAACTGACTGAGCCATTTCTTGCTGGTTGGGGGTGCAGGTAGATGATTTTCCCTCCTGGGGAGTTCCTATCTCCCCAAGCATGGATCAGGAGACGTGCCAATTTCCCTGTGCCCCCCACCCCGTGGAGCCTCCCTCCCCCAGCCCCCGCAGGAGGGCTCAGAACAGGACCACCCCTGTTTTTTCTCCACGGAGAGTTCACACAGAGGAGCTGTCAGGCCACAGACAACTTCGCTGCGTCCCCCGACGTCCCCTGAGGGCCGCCCTCCCGAGGCCATTCTACAGTGACCCCACCTACGTTCATCAGACCCGCGGCTGTGCGTGAACTCGGGGTGCTGGGCCGGCCCTTTGAGATGAGCCCCTGTCGCCCACCGGGCTCTGCCCCCCTCCTCAGCGCCCCCGGGGGCACCTGTGACCTCCCTCCTGGCACAGGAGGGCTCCTCTCGGCCTCCCTGAGCAGGGAATGTGGGGAGAAAACCACCACTTTCATCACGACTATTTCAGATTTAGACTTACAGACGTCCCAGTTGCTTCAGCTAGGCCCTGGCCTCGTCACTCACAGACACGCCTGGCCATGAACACCTACCTGTGGGGTCGGGGAGAGGCCCCCCGGTGTGGGGACCACCGATGTGAGCCCCGACCCTGACCCTGCTCACCCCAGGCGCCCGTGCCAAAGCAGAACGTCTGGGGCCCCTGGCCTCTGGCACCTGAGTATTCTGGGCTGGTTTTTGCATAACTCCGGCTTGATTAAAACCCCAAATATATTTGTCCAACCGTATCCCCTCTCATTTTTTAGCTAGATTTATTTAAAGGGAAATAGAGGCCATGCACCCCTGACTCCTCACTGCTCATCCAAGCCGACTGCTACTGGCTGCGGGGTGGGGGGCTGGGAGGGTCTCTGCAAGTCCCTGGGTTCCCCAAGCCCCTCAAAGTGACACAGGGGCCATCTCCACGCCTGGCGCCCCTGTGCCAGTGACCTGGGTCCGCAGGGACCACACGGGACAGCCCATGCCATGTGGGCAGGGAATGCGGGGCTGCGGTGCTGTTGCTGTTGTACCTCAGAGCCCAGGATTCGCTGGTGGTGTCAGGATCGGAAGAGCGGGTCTCCTCCGTCCGTGATCGAAAGCAATCCCGTACGAGGAGGCCTGCGTTCCGACATCCACCGACCCACCACCTCCTCCAGGTTCCAAGTTCTGAGCTCACCAGTGAGGTCTGCTGATGAAGGAGAGACGCATTTTTATTAAAATTACTCATGTGGGCCGAGCACCTCATATCTGACCCTGAGCTGTAGGGGTTCCCAGTGGAAACCGAAGCCTCTGAAGCGGGGTCTGCATTGTGGGGTGGCAGCCCCACCACCCTCCAAGGGCAGCGCCTGGAGACGTCCCCGGACGTGGTGCTGGGGTTTGGCAGCCTCGCAGAGAAGCACGTGCAGCTGGGGGTACAGACCCAGAGCGACAGACAGATCGGGTTTCTTTCTCAGGGGACCCTCAACCCAGCCCCGCATCCGACATCAGCTCGGGTCCAACTCCACCCTGAGACCAAGAAGGAAACCAGCAGAGCCACCCGTCTGTGCAGAAGCGATCTGGCCACAGCCCGGCCGATGCGGTGACCACCGCCCTGGTCAGCACGCCCGTGAGGGTGCCAGAGCAAACAGCGAGGCCCTGGCCGCTGTGGTTGCTGGTGACCTCACGTCGGGCCTGCTGTTTACAGAAGGGGGGGTGTCTGGTGCCGACGGGACCCCAGTAAGTGACTCATGGCTCCTTTACGGACCCGAGCTTCCCTGGAGTGAATGTGGCTCAATGTCATGCAAGCACCCGCAGTCTCACCCTGGAAGCAGGCAGCCTTCTAAACAGGGATCCTCAGACGACTTCAGGCAGCAATGCCAGGACCCAGCACAGCTGTGGGCCAGGCACCCTGGGGTTCTGATGCCACGAGGGGATCCAGGGGGAAGGTGTACAGTGGGGCGTGCTCAGCCGCACACACAGCACGCACCCCCTCCAGCTTAGACTCTAGAGCCACGGGACATGCGCCCCTTCCAGCTTAGACACTACAGACCTTGTGCCCTGGGCAGAGAGCACGCACACCCTCCAGCTTAGACTCTAGAGACCGTGTGCCTTGAGCCACGGGACATGCGTCCCTTCCAGCTTAGACACTACAGACCGTGTGCCCTGGGCAGAGGGCACGCACACCCTCCAGCTTAGACAGTACAGACGGTGTGCCCTGGGCTGCGGGCAGGACAGGGACCCCCAAAGATGTCCACGCCCTCCTCCCTGGAAGCTTTGAGAGTCACCCAAATGGCAAAAGGGACTTCTGCAGGCATGACGAGCCTAGCATTTTGAGATGGGGAGATGGCCCTTGAGCATCCACCCCGAGGGTCCCTGTAAGAACACGGCAGAGGGAGCCGTGACCACAGCTGTGACCACAGAAGGGATGCGATGTGACAAGGAGGACGAGGCAGAGGCCGGGTGATGCTCTTGGCGGATGGAGGAGGCCCACAAGACAAGCGCTGCAGCAGGAAAAGGCTGGGGTGCCCCTGGGCTTCCCGAGGGGCCATCCCTACCCCCCACTCCAGCTGGTAAGACAGGCTCCTGAACCACAAGAGAACGAATTCCTATGGTTTTAAGCCACCACGTTGATGCTGGCTTGTCGCAGCAGCAGCTATAGATGCACCTACATCATAAAACATCCAGGATTTGGGGCCAGGCAAGCCGGGCCGTGCTCCCCTCGATGTGCCTGGCTTTGCCTTGTTCACAGGTCCCGTCAGGTGGGAGAGCCGCAAACAGCCCCCGTGGGTTGTGGCCTCAGGCCCCATCAGACAAGATTCAGTGTGAAGAGGGCACATTTCCTCATGTATCTTGTTAAAGAGCAAGAAACCTTTCCCGAGAAGTCACCAGCGAACTCTCCTCATACCTCACTGTCCAGAGGGAGTCCAGGACAACCCTAGTCCATCTCCAGGTCAGGGACACCTTCAGAAGTGGCCTGGGGAGGGGCGCTCACCCTCCCTGCACATTGTTATCGTTGGCTTGGGCCAGAGCTCTCCATGGGGGTCACTTCTGTCCCCTGAGGACACTGGCCATGTCTGAAGACTGTACTCCCAGAGTCCAGAGCATAGCATGAGAAGGACGTCCCCAAACAGGGGCCACCTGGCCCGCAAGTCCAGAATCCCAAGGGTAAAAAGCCCCACCCAAGGCCAGTCAGGCCAACCCCAAAAGCTGAGGAGGGGCCAGCCTCCTCAAGACTCACTGGTTCATCTGGGTGGGGGTGTTTCTGAGCAAATCCCCTTCTCTTTTGGAAAGGAGACAGGGGTCCAGGTGGGGGCCAGTGTGGAGGAGGGATAGCATCGGCCGCCGAACTGAGTCCTTCATCTCGGGGGCAGTTCTGGTTCTGATGCTTATGTGTTCAGGGGCCAAGGAAGGTGTCTGGGAGCAAACTTAGCAGAAGCAGCCTGCACATAACAGTCCTCAGGTCTGCGAGAGGCCAGGAGAAAATACGGGATCCTGGGCCCACTGATGGCCCCCAGACAGAGCATGACTTGCAGGAGGGCTCAGCCCACCAAGTCCTGGCAGGATTTGGCAAAGCTGCTGCATGATGCATGCTTGCATGCTTAATTTGAGGACAAGAGAAAAATCTTCATTGGAAGGACTGATGCTGAAGCTGAAGCTCCAATACTTTAGCCAGCTGATGCAACGAACTGAATCATTGGAAAAGACCCTGATGCTGGGAAAGATTGAGGGCTGGAGGAAAAAGGGGCAACAGAGGACAAGGTGGTTGGATGGAATCAGTGACTCAATGGACACGAGTTTGAGCGAACTCTAGGAGATGGTGAAGGACAGGGACGTGCTGCAGTCCATGGGGGTGCAGAGAATCAGACATGATTCGGTGACTGAACAACGCTGGTCACAGTGGACAGCCAGCAGAGTCTTCACCCACCTCCACCCATGGGCAAATCCAGGGCCCACCAGTGGGTGAAGACCCACCTGAAAGGCCGGGTGGGCTAGAGGGACCCTTCTCCCCAGGTCACGCTTTGTGGCTGCCTGTCTGGGGGCTCAGGGGTGAAGACCAGGTAGACACTGAGGTCAAGAGAAGGCAGTGGGTGCTGGCCGAGGAGACCTGGACATCAGAGGGACTGGAGGACCACGTCGCCCGCAGCATCCGGAGCACGGACAGGCATCATCGGGAGGGGATACAAACCTACATTCGAGGGCTCACTGATTCCTTCCTCAAACTTGAGGCTGCAGGTCGGCGCAAAGAACAGAGATGCTCACCAGAAAGGCCAGGTGGTCACAGAGACCTGGACTCGTCCGCCTCCGCCCCTCCTGGGACGTGGGCCTTCCACCTGCCCAGCTCACGGGAGCCTTCAGGGGACGACCACCTGTGTCAGGGCAGTGCAGTGACCCTGGAGCGCTGGGCAGGGCACCGCACCCCGCACGCGTGGCCCTCTCTAAAGGGACGGGGCCCCCAGGGCCTTGTTCTGAACTGAGTCCCGTGCCCTCGCTGCTTTTTATGCCAACCCTTTTAGAGTTTTCTTTGGGGATTAAATACATACTTTACTAAATCAACAGATTACTTAGCATCTTGTGGTATGAAAACACAAAACCAAAACAACAACAGCAGAAACCCCTGTTAAATGAGATGCCTTCATTTAAAAATGCATTTAACCATCTGCATGTGTGCGGGCCACTCGGCGGGGCTGCCTTTCATTTTAAACTGTACTGACGGGGAGATTATAAATGTCAGACTTTATGAGGCCCTGGAAAAAAAGATACATTAGCTTAGATATCCCAAATTATCAGTGCATGGACACCATTACCTTGATAAGATGTTTACAAACAGACATATGGAGAGAAAGGTTTTAGAAGAAGGGAAAACCACTCTTTTTAATTGTTCCATCCATCGACCCACGTCTAGAAACAGAGGGGCAGAGAGTCTGGGGGCAGCGCCAGACCTTTCACGGTCAGTGGCTCTCACACACAGGCGAGGCGTGTTCGTACTGACTCAGTCTGCGAGGGGCGGTGCCACGCAGCGAGGGGCTCGGTCCTTGTCAGGGCTAAGGAGAGGCCAGGTGGGGAGGTGCACACAGCTGGGTCTGGTCTGTGCCGCGTCACCCCAAGACGACTCCTCGTCTCGCAAGACGACTCCTTTGCAACTTTAAAATGAATTAAAGGTGGTTAGCTTGGCTTTGAAGACCCAAAACCAGGTTGACAACCGCATCTTATTACTGAGTGTCCGTAGGTGAGGTTTCCTGGGTGGCTCGGTGGTAAAGAACCTGCCAGCGCAGGAGGCCTGGGCTCCATCCCTGGGTCGGGAGGACCGCCCGCAGAAGGGCGTGGCAACCCACTCCGGTGTTCTTGGCTGGACGATCCTACGGACAGAGGAGCCTGGTGGGGGTACAGTCCATGGGCCACGAAGAGCAGGACACGCTTGGATACTAAAGAGCGGCGCCCGCAGGCCATTCTCATCAAGACCCTGCACGTGGGCCTGGGAAGCCCCCACGTCGCTCTCCGTGTTCAAGCTCTGCCCCGGGTGCCGCTCAGCTGGATGAGAGCTAATGCCCAAGGCCGCCCTCCCAGAACATGCTTCTAACACTTTCCGTCTCAAATTTTCCTCCGACATTGACTGTTGACTGTGTTACGACAGGAAGAAGGGGGCAGTGGATTTCGTGGCCCGTTTGTACCTGATTGAGGAGAAATTGCTTGTGGTCCCTGTGAAGGGGAGGCAGGTGAGCCTGGGGGCGCCCAACGGAGGCCCCTCCAGTGGCAGCCAGTCTAGTCCCTTCCAGGGGCGCCTGCTCCAGCAGACAGAGACAGGGGGCTGGCTCTAGTCTTCCCCGGGAGTGGGGAGCTCGGACGCCCATGGCCCCAGGTGCAACCCCTCAGGCCCTCAGGCCCTGAGAGGTGTTCAGAGACATTCGCTGTCTTAGTTGGAACCATCCTGCAAAGTGTGTACAATTGTGTTCACTTTGCAGATAAGAAATCAAACCCTTCAGAGGTCAGAGGGGCGTCCCTGTTTCCACGTCTACACACAAGATGGCCTGAGATCTGTGTCTGCCCTGACGGACCTGCGTCCAGAGCCCACAGCCCAAACAGGGACCAGCTGCGCCGCGTGAGCACCTGGGCTGCAGGACATCCACGCCCTGCCCCCCCCCAGGGAGTTGCAGGACATCTATGCCCTGTCCCCCGCCCAGGGAGCTGCAGTACATCCATGCCCTGTACCGCCCCCCCGGAGCTACAAGTGGTCCACGCCCTGTACTCCCCCCAGGGAGCTGCAAGTGGCCCACGCCCTGTACTCCCCCAGGGAGCTGCAGGTGGTCCACGCCCTGTCCCCTCAGAGAGCTGCAGGATGTCCACGCCCTGTCCCCCACCCAGGGAGCTGCAAGTGGTCCGCACCCTGTCCCCCCCCCAGGGAGCTGCAGGACGTCCACGCCCTGTCCCCCCCCCAGGGAGCTGCAGGACGTCCACGCCCTGTCCCCCCCCCCCGGGAGCTGCAGGACGTCCACGCCCTGTCCCCTCAGAGAGCTGCAGGATGTCCACGCCCTGTCCCCCACCCAGGGAGCTGCAAGTGGTCCGCACCCTGTCCCCCCCCCAGGGAGCTGCAGGACGTCCACGCCCTGTCCCACCCCCAAGGAGGTGCAGGTGGTCCACACCCTGTCCCCCCCCAGGGAGCTGCAGGACGTCCACGCCCTGTCCCCCCCCAGGGAGCTGCAGGACGTCCACGCCCTGTCCCCCCCGGAGCTGCAGGACGT